CACGTCTCCATCACCGCATGCCACGTCCTCTCCGACAGATGCTGCAAATGCAGTTGACAGCTTTCGCCCAATTATCTTCTAATATAACATTTGAATTTTTTCATCCGCCCGCAACTGCACGCCTTTTTATTCATTATTACTGCCTTATTGTTGTTTGCACTTAAACAGGTCGCCTCCGTTTTTGGCATCTAACTAGGGTGAGTTTGAGGGAGGCCACTGTGAAAGTTGTTCGACTAGGGCTGAGCCCGAAAAACGAATATAAAAAAAGTCCTATTTTGGCGTAAACCTGCAAAAACTGCTAAGGTAAAATAGAAAATAAACAAGCAGGGGGGCTAAAAACTCAGCCTGGAGCAAGATCTGGCCGAAAAAAAAAAAAAAAAACAAAGTGTCCAAAAGCAAACAAAAAAAAATAAGTCAAACGATGTTTAGAAAGATATTAATAAACGTAAAAAACCCTTTTAGCAAAACGGAACGAAATCCTTTTTCCTTGCTCACCACTTCAACCGTAACGTCCATTATTTCGGTTACGAGAGCATGCTTTCTGATGGAAGTAGTAAAAATGAAGCATGCGCTTCCTGTTAAAAACTCTGTATGCTTTTTGCCCTGGCCAAATACGAACCATGGAACACGGAACGAGAAAGAGAACAAACTATTAACAAATTGTCACATAATTTTTTGTGAATTAGCAACAAGGCAGAAGGCATCCTAGAGGCTTCATTAAGTAATTAGCTGGATTTTAGTAATGTCATCAGCGGTGAGGCACAGCCAGTGCAAATAAGTGCTTACCTCATACTCGGATGCGCGCAAATCACCAAAGAAAAGCTTCCGAACAACTTGAAAGATCATGTAAGCTACCACCAATCCTTGTATGTACATCACCTGCAAACGAGGCAATCAGCGAAAAAAAAAAAAAAGAATGATTAGATAGGACATAAAGTGAGGTTATAGGGTAGGCAGGGGGGAAACGCAGACAACAACAAGCTACTAATAATGAGTGCCTGCGAAACAGCCAACGATCCGAC